CGTGTCTCTTCCTGCATCCCTTCGCAACTTTTTAGTCCAACAGCCTTTATTTTTTATCAAAAATATTAATAAAAATTAAGCATAAGTATTCGCTACAGGTCGAAGTATTGCTTTTTTTACAATTTTCCTGCTTTGTGAACTAAATGTGCTTGAACTACACCAAAAACATTAATCAAACATTTTTAACCTAAAATTCTCAGCGTTTACCTCAATTGCCACTTCTTTTTCTGGTAGACCACTCAAGGACGCCAATGAGCCATAACAACTGAAAAGATTAAACATTTGATCATGAAACGTAAAGAAGGATACAGTTAAGGTAGCATTGTGCTAAAGGGGTTGGTATTATGGATTTATTTCGGTTGATCAGGAATTTACCTGAACGCTACTCTCTTTCCTTTTACTTTAATTTCCACTATTGCTCCTTCTTCAACATTGATCATCTACAACGAAAAGTATGTTATTACTGTAGAACTGCTTTCTCCCGCTGTGTCCCTGTGTGCAAGGGTTGTGAGGTTAGTTTGGATCAACCCTTCTCTCAATAATGATCCCTAAGCCTTTATCCCTCGCCTTACCATCTTTCATCCCCTTCCACCCTGCCTCTCCCTCTCCCTTCAATCTCTTTCCATCCTTTCCTTTTCATCCTCCACCTCCCTTCCATTCTCCATCTCCCTTCTATCCTCTCTCCTTTCTTCACCTTCACCCCTTTCACAAGTGTATACAGTGTTTTGCCTCATGTCTAAAGACTAATCACACTCTAAAATTCAACACTAAAGAGTACACCCTGTACAATAAGAACAGGATGTTACGAGAGTATCATCATCGCTCTTCACGCTGGAAGGCGCACAAGGCCGTGTTACGAGAGCAAATATATTTACGACGTTTTAAGTAAAAGCCAAATGCCAGAACTTACCTGTGACGCGGGATCAAACGTGTATTCCTTGAGCATTGGACGAAAGAAATACTGGCTGGGACCCTAACAAGGAAACGAAACTATTCAATCAACTGTGCATGACCTGCTACAGAACAGCTACGAGTAATTCCAGCTTATAAAGCAGAAATTCTAACTCTAATATTGATATTTCAGAAATAAAGACAGTATTTCTTGAGACATTGGGGCTTACTCACCAGATTCGCGAACACCATCAGACCATCGTCAAGGGTCAGGTTGTTACTGCGGAACTGTCCAGCACTCARTGATAACAACACGTCCGGTAGTGGTTTATCTTGTTCATCAACAACCTGAATGCGAATTTCTCCCAGCTTGAAGGCTTGGAAATCTCCCTTCTTGTCGGGSACTGGGTTGATGATGAATCCGTTCTTGTGGGCTGCCTGTGGTTTTAAATACCAGGTTGCTTAGTTACAAGCAAAATATTTTTTCTAAAGCCTACCTACCCGGATGATGTTCTGGGTGGGTATTGGCTGAAAACGAGATGATATTATAGGGCTTCTCAATCCCACGCGCTCGAAATTGTACAATTTGCTGTCGCGATAAAGTAGTGTTTGGTGGACGCTAATCCAATGGTTTCCGGAAAACACCAAGTTTTGATGGGCACGTGCTTATGGAAACGCCTTGATTGACGTCCACCAAAACCTACTTCGTTGTGACGAAGATTTCACACGTGCTTTTGAGGAGCACTATAGTGTGGAGAGATGGGAATATTTACCAGGTGATATTCTATTGATCCATGTAGAGGACCGACTCTGTAAGAAATAGAAATGGAGACACTTTAGAATACTAGAAACAACTGTTGCACCGACATCACCACTATCAACACTGAAAACAGCAACAACGACAACAGCAACGACCACCATGAGCAACAATTACGATAGCAACAACGACAACAGCAACGACGACGACAGTAGCAACGACAACAGCAGCAACGACAACAGCAACAACTACAACAGCAACAACTACAACAGCAACAACCATGAGCAACAACGCCTGCATCAGAGGTAGAAGCAGAAGCAGAAGCAGCAACGACAGTCTCAACGAAACAACAACAGCAACAAAAACAACGACAAACAGCAGGCACCAGGAGAGGCTAAGACAGCAACAATAAAGCCACTGCAACAGCACTAGTTAAAAAAAACCTTGTTTAATCCAGACATGTCAGCAGCAGTGCTCTACTCCACTGGAGTCACACAAGCAGTTACACAAACCATCAAGTATGTATTCATACCTATATTTGCCCTTGTCATCTGTCWGGATTTTGATCGGTGGTTTAGAAGRATCACCTCCAGTTCCCTCAGTAATCGTAATCTCAACACCAGCAAAAGCTGGGRTGACTTGTCCTTCCAGGAACACTCCTGGACGACCTTCTATCTGTACCAGTGCTCCTGGACAATTATCTATTSCAACAAGAAAATGAACAATACCATCATTAGTGTGGCCTAAAATCTCCTGGAAAATTCAATAAGACGTATGTGGAAGAGACTTTTGGGGACGCAGGGGGTGGGGATGGGGAAAGGATAACGGGTGGGGAGCTCCCCACCCCACTCCTTCTCAAATACCCTATACTGGTAGAATAATTGAACAGGAATTTCATTTCATTACCAGTGATTGCAACTGTCCTGGTTGGCGGGTAGAACAAGAGTAACGCTGAGATAGGTGTGACTTCAATTTCCTCTCCTTCCCTAGAAGTTAAAAATATTTTTGAAATATTAAATATTATTAAAATATTTTAAATCACAAAGTCATCACAATAATAGTCCCCTTCACAGTTCCATGCGCCATCTTGAAAGGTAGCCGTGCCTTTGCATCGAAGCAAGACGAACGGTGAGCTYGAAATGATAGAGACCTGTGAATAATTGTCCAAGGTGTTAAAAAAAGGTCTCTATCATTGCAAGCTCAATGTTCGTCTCGCTTCGATGCAAAGGCATGGCTACCTTTCAAGATGGCGCAGGGAACTGTGAAAGGGACTATTGCTGAATTCCAAACAGTGGATAAGTCTCTTATCATCGTCTGCTCCAAATAATGGTCAAACACTGACCACCATGTGCTGTCAGTCACAAAGAATTCTATTGACAACTTGTGATTCAGCTGATGGACATTCTGCTCAAGATGGGACATCCCGTCAAGTGAAACCCAGTAATTTGAAATAACGAATATCTGCTTACAGTATACATGTAATATTAGTTAATATTAATAAATATGATATACTAATATACCTTCCCCAGTGCGAGAAAATATAGCTAAAAGAATCCCGTACAACAGGCTCCTTCTTGGGCTCAGTATYGTTGCCTTGACTACCAGCCTTGGTTTTTTCTTCAACGTCATCATCATGTGATAGTGGTCCAATCATGATAACTTCATTGGACTTGACAGATCTGTCAACAAAATTAGAAAATAGTTATAAGATAAATAAAGTTTCAACAATCTAGGGAGGATAACTGGCTGACCATGAACAACCTTCCTGCCTAAGGGTTTTCTCTAAAATATGGAAAATTGTAACACCTCTGAGAATTGATTGTATAACGGACATTGATTTCTGGGGTATGTCCCCCTTAAGATATCAAAATCCTAGATCCCCTACGAGACCACAGCAGGGTTAGCTGAAGAAAACTAAGTGACAACACCAGGTAGATAGTATGTTATGAACTACTTCAACGATATGTCGGCCATCTTCCCAGGGGGCAAAACACTACATGGATAATGGATAATAGATATACAGTAGTTTCATGTGTTYGTCTTTCTTTTATGGGTAAAGGTGATCAATGTGTAGTCTTAATTCTTTTGTTGTATTGTCTTGTGGTGAGCTGTTAATATTAATCAAGGCCATTACTGTAACAAAGCTTTGTTCACCCCCTKGAAGTCCAACAATGCCTTGTGATCCAAGATGGTCGCTGTATCATCTAAGTAAGTCCATTGCACACGTTAATACTCACCTGATTTTCACCTTCATGTCATCAGTTTGCTCTTTTGTTGTGATAGCTCCAGACAACAGATGTTTGGTTGCAGTCAGAGTGAGAACAGAAGGCACAGCACTAGGGATAAAAGTAGTTCAGGAAACAATAACAGCATTATCAAAAGACCAGAATGACAAGGGCAATGTCCGCACACCTTTACCATATTTATTCTAAAATATATGTATGACTTTGAAATACTCTGACATCCATTCATATTGGATAAGGATGAMGTCAATCCATACCATGACGGAGTAGTGTGATATTCCAATTTACTATCAGACTATATTAAACATGTCACTTACGTGTTGTATCTGTACACTTCTTGTTCAAACTGATGGCATGACTTGGGGATCAAATTATAGATTCCTGGAAACACAAGTTACAAGGAATTTTCAATATTTTTTCTATTGATAATAACCACTGCTGCTGCTGATGGTGCTAATCCTGATAATGATGATGATGATGGTGAGGATGATGATTATCATGATGGTGATCATGATCATGATAGTGATGACGGTGATAATGATGGTGATGTTAATGATGATGATGATGGTGATGGTGATGCAGCAGTACCCAGGATTTACATTGTTRTCCATTAAGCTCACCTGGTTCTGCTAAACAAAATCTATTGATCCCCTTGTACAAGTCAAAGGAACCAACTACTTCTTTCTTGTTCTCCAAGGAAAAGTTCTAGTRAGAGAAAGTGCTTGGAATTAAATTATAATCCATCATTATTTGTTCTATGCACAACTATACACTGTTATGGACCACCTAGATACACTGTGAACATGGGTTCAATTCTCGGAACTGCCATTACATCTATGTAAAGTTGTATAGCTGTTTGTTGGCTCTCTCCTGTTATTTGTTATCCACATTTTTCCCCCCATAAAAATATACTGCTTTTTTTGTTTCAAGTTGTGTCCTACAACTCTGTAATAAGTTTTTTACTGCAAGCTTACTCCAGTGCATGTCACAGAAAACTAACTAGATATATCACTGACTCTACTTTTCCGTCTTCCTTACCAGTGTAATAGGATGAGATAAGCTGCATTTCAAGATAAACCCAGACTGAACGAACTCTAGTGAAGWTACATCTGTATCAGCAATGTCAAACTCTATAGTCTTGTTAGCCCAGCACCACATTTCTTGGATAACAGAAGCTAAAAATAAAAACAATAATAAATTAACAACTTAATATAAAAAAAAAGGTCAAGAAAAAGGCATAAAAGAACCACTGAGGATGAAAGAAACCCCTGGCAGTGAACCTCTCATAATTGGAACTTGTCCAAACACATCTTTGCCTTGCCAGTCATTTTGACAGGACGAGTAACGTTGACCCAGAAACAAGGTATAACTGAGCTAAAACTAATAATATGGCCAGTCATAATGACCAGCAACAGACCAGTCATTAATTTTAGCATTACTACTATATACACCACGCATTGAGCTTGCTCTATTGCTTTTATACACTTCAAGTCAAAAGATTACTGTATGACTATGAATTGCTTGTAAACCACTGTAAAAACTKTCCAGTGGACATTACCTTTGTACTTTCCTGGCAATACATTTTGGAAGGCAAAATTGGCCCCATTTTTGTCATCTGTGACCTGGATGATAACAAAACCAAACAATCCATAAGATATAACAATCATACACTTTGATAAATGTATAGCATAATAATGTGCACAATATAAATCTAATGGATTTCAAATCTAAATATCAAGAATTCTTACAGGAACAACCATCTTGGCTTGATTTTGTTGGACTGAAGGAGTGAGTGAAACAGTTACTCCTTTACAAACTCCACCTGAATGATAAATGTAGAAGAAAACATTTAAGTTTATTATGTCAAACAAAATCTAATGTAATTTTTGTGAGAGACAACTCATTTTGAAGTAAAAAGAGTAAGACTCACCTATACATTTTACAGTACCACTGACAGTTGCTCTGAACTGTGTGAATGTAACATCCTTGATAGGTTCATTAGTCACAGTGATTTGYCTCTCTTTTGGTTTGAGGACAAGACCAGCAGCTGCCTCAATACTTGTAACCACAGGCTTTTAGAAAAATATGAACAAATATCAAGCTTATCTGCATCATACTTTTGGTATCACTGTCTACAGTACATTATCACTATGAGCTGCAATACCATCAGTATCATCATTGTCAACTTCATCATCACCATCATTGGCATAAGCATCAACACCATTACCATCGTCATTAACATCACCACCATTAACACCACCATCAAACCACCAGCATCACCATTGTTGTCATTATTATCATCACTATGTATTAGTGACCATAACCACACCAATGTGAACAGAACACAATGTGCTAGTATGTCTACTGGTTGCTTAGCAACAAAACTCTCATGCTATAAGGTAGCCAAGGTAACAACCAACCTGGATGGTATGTACTCCTGGGGGGACTTTAAAACAATAGGCTCCATTCTGGTCAACCTTAGCTGATGCCGAGCGAGTACTGATGGGTGCTCCCTCTGTTGTCATAATGACCTTTCTTCCACTCATCTGAAATCAATTAGAACATTCTCTGTAAATAGATCATTTTTTTATTTTTATGGTAAATTCTTTTAGCCATCCATCAACATACCTGTACTGTTCCAGGAGGGAACACATCAATTATAAGTTTACCACACAAGTTGTACCTGTGAGTAAAATATGAATAGTCATCAAAAATGGTCAGTATATATTACTTAACCTCTGGGTAAATACTACACTTGGAAATTATCAAAAAGGAATTAAACAAAATCTTTCTGAATTTGCTTTACCGACCATAATAAATAATGGCTAAAATACATTACACTCATCGTAATTAGATGAGCTTGACAGCATTGTCAATAGTCTCATGTGTACAATATAACGAAGAGATAGTAGGTATAATTGTATGACTTTGTCAAAAACTTCTTTGCACCCAGTACCAATCCAATGACACCCATGTTTTGCATTTAACTCACCCTGATGGTTTGATGTCTGGAAGCTTGGGTGTGTTAGGATTCACTTGGACGGTAAGTAATTCAAAGAAGTAGTCACTCTTTGATGCCTGTAAAAAATATCAATAAACATCTGAACCTTTTATGTTATTGGACTCTAAAACAACMTYTGGATTGATCTAAATCAGGGCATGGCTAAATAACAGATCAAATTCATAAACAAACTCTGCGCTGATCAGTCAGGGCACAGCTAACTCACAGATCAAACCCTGAGACACCTTTAGCTAGGCTGATCTACGTGAGGGTATAGCTAACTCA